CACACACACACACACACACACACACACACACACACACACACACACACAGTTTGGGACCTTGATTCAGCCTCTTTATGACCACAAGCAGGCATCATTTTCAAGCCCCACATAATGCTGACAGTGTTGAGTGAGATGGCTTAATCTGTGTTCTTTGGATAATCATAAAAAAATATGTAGGGTCTTCAATATTTTCATTGGAACTAAGCAGAATTTGGCTTGTGGTTTAGAACATTTTTCACAGCAAGGGACAAGAATTAGGATTGGGAACTGGAAAGAAACATAACAATGCCAGTGCTCCTGATTCTGCCCTTTGTTATGGGTTATTGGAAAAGCCTTCCGTATCCTTTTCATTTGGCTCTTTACTTGCAGGAGAGAATATGGAACAGGCATTAACCAGCTTTTGCATTAAGTATTGTGGCTATTTATTTAAAATAATGGAAGAGTGCTTTTGACTTTAAAAAAAATACATAAATCAAACTGATAAAACTCGTAAGTATGATGGGAGGCTGTTTTATTGTTATATTTAATCAGGTTGGTTTGTCTTTCTCCATAAGGTCACACATTTTTTGAGTCAAAATATAAACTGTAAGTTTCTTCCTTGTATGCGTGTGTCTCTGAAGCACTGTTCTGAAAGCAGACCTATTATATAGGTGAAATGAGAACTGTCTATCAGTATTCATGAGGAGTAATGTTCTACAAAGAAAGGCTATATGTTCAATCCACTTATTATGAACAGAAATAAAAATGCTTGAAAATAAGGAGGAAATGTATGTAGTGCATGCATGTAAAGTACAAGTCTTGCTGAATTTTCCTCTGGTTTGAAGAAAATACTGAACACATTTTCTTGCTTTAAATTTACATTACTTTTAGGAATTATGTTCTTTGTAATCTATACTAATGGATTGTCTTTGAGATTGTGCGCCCAAACCTTGGCCTGGCTGAATTGTACCGGACCAGGTGAATATTGAAGAGGGAGCCAACGTTGGCATCAGGCCACATTTCTGCCCCTCACCTGGATCACTAGGAGCAGCCAGGATGTTGATTTTGGCTCCTAGCACAACTTAGAGACTTGTTTGTTTGAGAGATGCCTCATTGCTCATTCTTTTTGGGGTTAAAAGCATCAAATTTGTAAGAAAAGAAACAAAAGATTTCTGTATAAACAGAAAAATCCCAGTTTGGGTTACAAGAAGTTCTTCTTCAGTGATTGGTCCCTATTGTAGTCCATTGAGGGTTTACGTATATGCACCATGTGTCCAGAGCCAGAGAATTTGAAAGTAGTAGTGTCCATTGGTCCTCACATGCACCCTTGCTTTGCCTCATGGTTTCGTTTGAGGTGGTAAAGGGCAGGGCGAACTGGCCACATCTCCAGTTCCTTCTCACTGCCGCAGAGTCCAGTTGAAGCTACTAGTGTCCTCTTGTGTGTGACGCACCTTAAAAAGTGTAGAGTTGTATATACTTAGTTTTTGTTGTAGTATTTGCTGTTTTTACTGTTTTAACATAGTTTTAGCTTTTTTTAGTAGTATTTGGAATAGAACTGAGACTTTGGGGGAATCTGTTTACCGGTTATACCCTCCCTCCGTACCCAGGAGTGGGTACTGGACTATGCCGAAGATGCCAGGATTTAAGATCTGCGCCTCCTGTCCATGTTCCTTCTCGATCAGCAACTAACATCAACACTGCCTCAACTGCTTGGGAGAAGCCCACATTTCATTCAGCTGCAGTATCTGTCAGTCCTTCCCAAGCCATACCCGAGAAGGCCAGGCTCTCTGCCTTAAGAAGCACCTCATGGAAGTCACCATAAGGTCTCAGTCGTACTCAGGCTGGGGAACTGCCCCCTGTATATTGCCCTGAGACAGCCAGGTATGCGTCTCCGGCTCTGGAGATCGAGTCCACCTCCAGTGGTAGCACCAGTACAGACCCCATGCTGGGGCCTAGGTGGGAGATGAGAAAGCATGTGCATAAGCATGGCAGTAAATCTTCTTCCAAATTGAAGAAGGGCGATGTGCCTTTCATGAGTTCCATACCCTCGAGGATTTAAGAGCCACACTTCAATCAATGGGTATCTACACACCTGCACCCAAGCAGAAATTCTACCATCTGCTCACCTACACAACGGTTCAGGACTTCCCAGTTCTTCCACCAAAAACCATACAAACCATCATGCAAGCACCAGACGACGCAACAATCCTGTCCTCCAGGCCTGCCTTCATCCTCACACATACAACCCTCTTAGAAAAGATATTTCTGAGACCACTAGAGAGCCACCAACCTTCGCTGCATGTCAGCCTGCCCCCATTTCCCATTCCCACTTTCTCCAAGCTGCTAAAGCACCACAACAGCAGGATCAGACATTCTGATCCACAGATGCTTCACCTCAGAGCATGGTATTTGGATGGGCATCTTCTCTTGAAGAGTGCTCGTTGGAAATGAAAGGCATCCTATTGAGCAGTAGGAAATAGTACATTAGGTGTTCCTACTGGACCATGTGGAAATGCTTTGCCTCCTAGGCCCAACAAAAAGGGCTTTTCCCAGAGGACGTGAAGATTCCACTACTTTTGGATTACTTCCTGTTCATAAAGATGTCAGGGATTGCCCTAAACTCTCTCAAGATCCACTCTTCCATGGAAGGACACTCTGTATTTACACATCCGTTGATTAGTATGTTTTGGAAAGGCCGTTTGAGAATGTCTCACCTGTACAACCTATTGCTCCCCAATGGGACCTCAACCTCGTTCTATCGGCACTGATGAAACAACCCTTTGAGCTGCTGGCTTCATGCTCTATGATCCTTCTTTCCATGAAAGTCACCTTCCTTGTGGCTATCACTTCAGTGAGATTGGTGGGAGACCTTGGTGCTATGATGGCAGATCCCCCTCCTTTCACCACTTTCCATAAAGACAAAGTCTCCCTGCACCTACATCTTAAGTTTCTACCCAAGTTTCTCTCTCGGTTTCATCTCAGTCAATCCATCCACTTATCTGCTTTCTTCCTGAAGCCTAATGGCTTGGAAGAGGAGTGATGACTTCACTCCCTCGGCATCCACTGGGCGTTGGCCATCTACCTACAGAGGACAAGATTGATCAGAAAGTCTCCTAGATCATTTATTGCAATAGCGGAGAGTTAAGGGGCAAGCATTTTCCACATAGAGAATCTCCAAATGGATTTCTGGATGCATTACACTATGCTATTGTTGTCGGACGTATGGCCCATTCCACTTAGGGCCCAAGTGTCCACCATGGTCACCCTCCATGATATACTGCTTAGGGACATATGTAGGGTGGCCATGTGGAGTTCAGTACATACCTTCACTATACATTATGCCTTGGTGCAGAACTTTGTGACAGATGCCTCATTCGGCATGACTGTCCTCAGCTCAACTGTTCCATCTTCAGCTTCACACCCTCCTCTGAAAAAGGTACTGCTTGTTAGTCATCATCAGTGGAATGCAATAGGGACCATCACTCGAAGAAAAAGAGGAGGTTACTTATCTGTAACTGAAGGTTCTTCGAGATGTGTGGTCCCTATCTGTATTCCACCTCCCGCTCTGCTGTGGATCTGTTGGATTTGCAGTAGGGAAGGAACTGGAGACATGGTCGGTCCTCCCTGCCCTTTATCGCCTTGTCTTAAACCATGAGGTGAAGCAAGGGTGCGTGCGCGGACCAATGGACACCATTACTTTGAAATTCTCCAGCTTCAGTCACATGGCACATGCGTAAACCCTCAGTGGAATACAGATAGGGACCACACATCTTGAAGAACCTCCAGTTACAGGTAAGTAACCTCTTTGGCTCCAACTACTGCTTAGTCCTGCCTTTGACAACCAGCCACTGCAGCTGCTTGTATAGGGCTCCTTGGCTTTCCATTGACTATCTGATGGAGACTAAAGTCCCTAGTCTTCCTTCATTATGCTACCCTGTCCACCCAAGCTTAGTGTTAACTCATTGCTTGATGATGTTCAGTAGGTCAAGTGCACTGTGTCACAGCAGTGCCCATATTTTGGTAAATTTGATTTGACATTGATGAGAATGAGAGTCCCACTGACCCAAGCATGGCAAGATCAAGTGCTGCAACACCCCTAAGCTCACTTGAAAATTCCAACCAGAGTATCTCAATGTCTATTCTGAGACTTGGTATTTTATTACACGTAGTGTGTGGAAAAGCAAAGAAATGGAACAATCCACAGTGCCAATTCACTGAATCTCTGAAGTCTTTATATTCTGTGAAAGTCACATATGACAGTGTCCTATGTTGATTAATATTCTGAAGGATTCATGAGACAGTATTTGTAAGCTCTGAAAAAAAAATATTGGTTTGATTTTTGCAGAGCATTGGCTGTGATGACTACCTGGGCTCAGACAAGGTGGCTGACAAATGCGGAATATGCGGAGGGGACAACACTGGTTGCAAGGTGGTCTCTGGCGTTTTCAAACACACGCTAACAAATCTTGGCTACCACAAAATAGTAGAAATTCCTGAAGGGGCTATTAAAATCAACATTACCGAGATGTCCAAGAGCAACAACTACTTGGGTAAGTTTGTATTTCATTGCAGATAAAACACGATTGGTGTGATTGTTTGCCTGGAGGTTTGTCCCAGTTAGTGCTCTCTCAGCAAAGTGAGAGAAATGCAAAATTATTGACAAGAATACTAACTCATTGTTTTTGTTTCTTGGTTATACTGGCAGGACAAACCCCATGATTTGTATCTATTGCCCTGTCCAGGAGAGTTTTGCTTTGACTTTCCCTGTTCATTGGTTCCAATGTGGGAAATATACTTCACACTTTCTAAATCTTCTCTAAAATGTTAGTGAGGCAATTGTCTCCAGCAAGGCAGGCTGCTAGTCAGTTGAAAGCCATTGAAAACCGGATTCTCCTATTTCCTTAAAAACACCACCACAACATGCAGAACTTTTAATGCAAAAGGTACCCTGATCAGTCACAGCACTATGTGTGTGTTGGGAAGGCATCTGCAGAATACAGGGTCATTCAGATGTGAAGAAATATCATGAGAATTAAATAGGAAGTGAGAATCTGGGAGTATCAGGTAACACCAGACATCTGGAGGTATGTTTTCAGAGCTGACTGGTGTCTGGTATTGGGGCTGGTGTGGAACTTCCTGTTTTACAAACATAGACCTGCCATGTCTACCATTTGTGAGTTTTTCCCTATTTGGCTTCCCATGCGTGGCATGGATTCACACAGCTCATCTGCAAGGCCCCTAGCCTGTCCTCATTTAAGTCCCTCTTAAAGACCCACTTCTGGCAGACTGCCTAAAGCAAATCCAGTTATATTGGTGCACCCATCGTGAGTGACATTAGCAAACATAAACAACAATGGAGCTCTGCCTGAGAGCTTTCAAAGATTCCAGATCAAAAGGGATCATTGTGGTCTTCTAGTCTGACCTCCTGTATAACACAGGCCATGGAACTTCCCCAAAATAATTCCTAGAGCAGATCTTTTAGAAAAACATCCAATCTTGACTTAAAAATGGTCAGTGATGAAGAATCCACCATGACCCTTAGACTGTAATCAGATCACCCTTTAACATTCTTTGTTAAGCTAAATAGATGGAGCTGGAGTCTATCACAATAATAGGTTTTCAAATCCTTTAATCATTCCCGTGGATGTTCTCTGAATCCTTTCCAATTTTTTCAACTTCCTTTTGAATTGTGGACCCCAGAACTGGCCACAGTATTCCAGTAGTGGTCACACTAGTGCCAAATACAGAGGTAAAATAACCTCTCTATTCCTACTAAGAGATTCCCCCGTTATGCATCAAAGGATTGCATTTGATCTTTTGGTCACAGCATCACAGTGGGATCTCATGTTCAGCTGATTATTCGCCCCCCCTCCCCCCAATTTTTTTTTCCAAAATCTTCACCACTATCCTCCTTAGCCCTCACTCCTAGAATTGTCCAAGTGCATTAGAAGCTTCAGACCCTAGTATTCCATTTAACAGCTCTCCTAACATCATCTATTTCTAATGTCTCTGCCACTGCTAACCAACAGAAAGAAGGGAAACATTATTATACCCATTGTCACTTGCCCTCTTCTTATCCTTTCTGCTCTTTGCTTTGCACTACCTACTTCTTTGTCTTGCTGTTGCTAGCAAGAAGTGGAAAGGAATTTGACTAGTTTTACAGAAATCTCTGTGTAGACAGGAGTCCTTTGGGGAGGTAGAGAACTGTATATTGTAATGTGTCCTTGTACATTTCTTCCTTTAGCCAAAAGTGTGATTCTTCAGACTAATACAAGAAAGACCAGACTTGTGGTTCTGCTGATGTACTAAAACCTAGACATTTTGGAGCTCTTGTAAGAGAGCCTATTCACATAGTATTTCTGACCCTGGCTACTTCCCAATCAAAGAATTTTCTGATAAGCTGTATATAAGCATGAGTTTTTGGTTTCCTCTCTGAACTTTTTGAGCTGTGTCCATCTCTTTTAACTAATTTGGTGATGAAGGGAATGAATTATTCTGTATGAGCAACTTCCATAGATACAGTATGTTTGGAAGAAAATGTGGAATTCTTATATCAAATGGGTGAAAATGTAGTTTGCCGGGCAAACTGCTGGAAGTCATCACATAATGAAAGCTGTCAAACCATGAAATTGCAGATAATTTTTCTTTCAGATGTACATGCCAGCATCTAAAAACAGCAGAAAAACACCCTTAACCCTAGTGAAATGTGCTGGGCCACGTGAACATTCTTTGAATGCACAGAGCAGAAAAATAGTAACATTTGTGCTTAAAAATAATCGAGACTCTTGGCATGTATGGGAAAATAGCAAGCTGTGTGTTTCCCATGCTTCTCCTCATTCCCTGAGCTCTTTCTGATTTGTTTGTGCCACCACCAATTATTAATTTTTTTTTTAATACTGTCACATATGGTCATTATGGATTTTAGATGGCTAAATTAACCAAATTAGCCTCCCTGACACTGAACATTCTTGGGTAGTGGTTCCATCCATGAAATTACCAGCCTCTCTGCTTATCCCATAAGGGCACAGCTAACTTCTCTGCTTTCACAAGTTGCAGTCAACTAATGATCAAGCAAATCAGCTTTTAAACAAGGCCCTGCTTTAGCATACAGGCAAAGAAGGTGAGCTAGAGGACCAGGATATGACAGCTTGCAAAATGTTCATTGATAGTTGATTGTGAAGTGCAATGGGGAATTAAAGGCAGACATTTCCCAGTAGGTGGAAGGCAACAAAGCTTCTGCAGCCAGCTCTGTGTTCAAAATCTGGACACTCTGGCAGTTTTTGATAGAGAAGGACTTGAACCATAACATTGGATCTCAACGTCCCCCAACACGGAGCTGTTCAAAACCCAGACCCAGATCTGGAATTTGCAAACTTCCCTACATTTAGTGGGATGAATAGAAACCTTGAATCTAAACATGCCAGAGTTCAGGGTCCCAATTCAACAAATCCCTTAAGCACGTACTTAATTGCTTTGCTGAACTGTGGCTTAGGATCTAATTCTGCCACCTTTGCTCACACCAAACAGGAATTTATTACATAAATAATCCCACAAAGTCAACAGGGCTGCTTGTGGAGTAAGGTACTGCTTGATGTAAAGAAGGCAGAATTGGGTCCTTAGTTTTTTGTCACATAATATGCATATTGCATGTGTTTTCTTTCATTGCAGAATCGTGAATCACACTTCAGCAAACACCCTGGGAACCTACGCTGAGTTTTCAGTTTGTAACAAAACATGTGCTCCATGTGGTTTCATTACACAGTTTTTGCACAGCACCAAATTTATCACACTTCTGCTCTTCACAATTTTGTCTATGACAAACCCCAAATGCAGTGAGGAAAAACATGTTCTCGCAATACAGTATTTCAAACTTGGCTGAAACCAGGAAGTACTAGAAATGGTAGAAGAGATCATCTGTGGGGTTTCAAGTTGGATTTCTTGACCAAAGAGATTCAAATTCAGCTAAAATTCATACAAACATATAAACATTTGTATGCTTCTCCAAACCAGATTTCCAAACCAGATTTCCAAACCTTTTGAAGTTGACCCATCACTAGCAATTATAATTGGGAGCCAGGCCCAGAGTGTGCTAAACAGAACAGCTTTGACAGCAATATTTAACGAGGGTAACTTGTTCATTCTTGCTAGTTCTAGGTGTAGTTTTCTCAGCAATTTGTTCAGATTAACATCTACGTGAAAGAGACAGTGATTAGGAGATAATGATGTTTAAGTTTGCTTATACTTTAAAACAATAATAAAATGTTGTCTTTAGAACAAAACCCTAGTGTTTGGAACAGGGTTTGTAGTGTTTCCAGAACATGTGATATTATCCAGGTATTCAGAAAATTCAAATTTAAAAGAAGACATGCAGTAAATATCATAAGATCAGGACAGACTGGTTCAAAAGTGAAGTATTTAAACACAGGTTACCTCATGTGTCTTTAAATTTGACATTTCAGAAGAGATCTTCATAATATCCTTGGACAGTGTTCATAGTTTTTTCAGCTTTGTTTATGTTACCTAAATGGTCTCAAGTATAACACTATTATCTATGTATCCTTCAAAACACCTCAAAACTTTCCTAGTGATTATAAGTTTCTAGATTGTCTTTGTTCTGATTTCATTTCACGTGACATCACTTTCAAACTTCTTGAGTGCTACTTATTTTAAACATTAAGTAGTAATGAGCATATTTACCAACTCACTTATTTTAGTCTCAGCAGTTCAATTTGGAAATGAGTTACAATTCAGATTACCTACCTACTAACTACCTTAGGTTTAGGTTTAGACTCATCTCAATGCAGTCTGAACTCTACATGTAATTTGCATTACTTCTTTTGAAAGTGGTTCTCCATAATGCATAATGTCTGACAAGCTTGTCAGGTAGACATCTGATGCAACAGAGCAGTTGCCCACACTAAAATTCTTCATCTGGAGCATCAGTTCTGTGACATGCCCAGCTGTGCATAGAAATGGGATGAAGGCCTATTTTTTTTTAATCCCAATGGTAAAATTGTGATCCATTGAAACTAATGGAAATTTTGCAATGGATTTAGGTGGGACCAGGATTTGTACCATTGACCTCTGGTCTTACAATTCTACTTGAGCAGCAAAATGTTGTGTTTGAATGTAAATATTTTAACATCCTGGGGATTAAGACTTAGAGTAGATAAATAATTTAAAAGCTGTATAATATCAATCTGACACTGTTATTCTGAAAGTGGCTATTTTACCAGATGTCTTTAAGACCTAATTTGAAGGAGCTGATTGATTTTGTTGTTCATTGCCTCTCAACAAATAGAGATCTTGGGGAAAGAATGTTCAGCATTAAGTATGAAAAGTTGGCTTATTACAGTCTGAGGATATAATGGCCAAAAAGCCACAAGTGATAAAAGTATATTAATCCTATCTAATGGTCTGATAATCTGGACAATCCATATATCTCCAGAAAAAAACCTCCCATTCTGGACTCTGAAAACCTTAGCATCTAGTCCTACAAGCACTTAGTACCAAACATAGTGCTTACCAGTATTAGCAATACTGGGACATT